AATGGGAGAGCCGTAAGCAAAGAGCTACAGTAACCCTCCTCCGTTTTTTTTTCTGCTTCGTTTCCCAGCCGTTTCCCGCATTCCTTCCTCTTAACTCATTGTTATTGTTGTTGTTGTTTCTTTGGTTTTCTGCTTTGACTGTATTCTTTCTTCCTACTTCTTCTTTTACGTGTTACCCTTTCTTAACTGTGTGCATGGATGCATCTCTCCCTCCCTCCATCTCTCTATCTGTGTGTCTGTGTGTGTGTGTGTGTGTGCCGCTTCCGCGCGGTGGCGGAGACGTGGGCGGCGGGGGGTCGACTTCGCAGGCGGCTGCGTAGAGCCGCGCGGTGGGCGGGTAGTTTTTCCGCCGCCTGCGCACACTATTTTTTCTTTTTGTTTTGTTTTGTTTTGTTCTGCCCCGCAGCCTCCCCCCGCCGCCGCCGCCGCCCCGCCGCTGCTGCTGCTGCTGCTGCTGCTGCTGCTGCTGGGGCATGCGGTGGGCCCAACCCAGACGAGCGAACTCTTTTAAACGACGACAAAAAAAAGGAACAAAAAAACATACATGACATTTAAAAAAACTACAACAACAACAACGTCACGAACTTAAAATCTAAAACAAAAAGAAAAGGTGGATGGGGGGGGTGTTGTTGTGGGAAGAAGCCACAGGCAGAAGCAGACGTGGGTGGCTGTGAGAGAGGGGAATGGAGGAGGCGGAGGCGGAGGAGATGCATGACGGCAGCGGGGCGGAAGATGCAGAGAAATGGCATGTATACATTTCTCTCCTTCTGTCTGTACGTATACATAGAAAACGAAGTGTGAATGCATGAAGCAAAAAAGAAAAAAAAAAGAGTTCGAGGAGAGCAGGCGCAACTGCATACATACGTGATTGCATTTATATCTACTACTGTGGTGTCTATTTCAGCTGCCGGGCATCAATGGCTGCACCCGACTCTGCCTCCTAGTCTTTTCTCTGCCACACTGCCGTCGTTGCCTCCTACTCCTTCTTTCTGTGGCTCTTAGCCTACGAAGTGAGGAGACAGAGGGCTTGCTCACACAGTCTCCCTGTAAGTGGCTCACACGTCAAGGTCTCTCACGCTACTGTGAAGACCCAAACGAGGAGCATCAACGGAGGAGTGAAGACGAGAAAGAAAAAGACACGCACAAGGACGAGACAGAGTATTGTACAAACCGCGTGCGCACACACACACACACACACATGCAAACACGTTGTGCGCGCAGCGTTGCCCGTCAGAGTAAAACAGTACCTATCGTTTCATATATTAGTTTGTATTTATTTATTTATATATTTGCATATATATAAACATCATTCGGTAAGTCCCCTCTCCCTCCTTTCTGCTATTCCAAGTCGTGTTTGTCGTTGCTTGCCGAACCTTGGCCTAGCTGCGCGCGATGGACCATGCACCGTGCCCGCTGGTGGAGGCGGAGGAGGCAGCGGATGCGCTCTCACCCCTGCCCCTCGCGAGGGACGACGGGGCATGGGGAGGACGCAGGCCGCTTCTTCCGCATGTGGCGGTGCGCTGTCGCCCACTGACGGCGGGGGAGTACCGCCTGTTCACAGTGCGAGGGCGGCAGCTCGGGCCCGCCTCACCGGCGTCGTGCGGCGATGCGCCGCTGCGGGTGAGCTAACCGGTGGCCATCCAAGTCACCTTGCCCACCAGCGCCGGTGGGCAGAAGACGCAGGGCATTGGCATCACGCTGGCGCGATATATGCCAGATGGCGCACTGCGCATGCAAGAGTTTCCACGCGTGTTTGACGCCGTCGTTCTGCCGCACTCCGTGGAATGTTTCACACGGCTGCGCCGTGAATAGGAGGCCCCCGACGTGACGGATGCCGCCGTGCCTCAACGTAAGGCGTCCTGTTACGACACCCTGCTTGACGTGAGCACCGTAGCCGGGGGCGATGCTGCCTTTGCGGCAGCGATGACTAAAAATGCCTTCACCCCCGTGGCAGGTGGGGCACCGGCATGGGTGGAAGAAAACGGAAGTCCTGACCTCGCTGACGATGAGGACAGGGCGGAAGTGGCGGCACTTCAGCGCGAGGTGGAGCAGCTTGCCTGCCTCAACGCCCTCTGCTGCCCCCACCAGCCGCTGCGGGGAGGCAACGGCGCCTTCGCAAAGGCCTCCTTGCGGCCCCGCAGGAGGCGGAACCCCACGCCGAGGCAGGAGGTCGCTACGGACCAACCGATTGTGCCGCTGCTCATCAGCGGACGCCACGTGGCGGTGGTTGCCTTCGGCCCGCCCCAGAGCGGCAAGTCCTACACGCTCTTCGGCTCCCCGCAGCCGGCAGCATCCGTTGCTGCCGGCGACCGCAAACGGGGCGGCACGGAGCTGCCGCCCCTCGCCTCCACCCACACGCGCGGGTTGATCACGCACTTTGTGCGGCAACTGCTCGACTTCGCCCGGGGGCGTCAAAAACGACTGGGCAAAGTTGCGACGGTCGATGCTGAGCAAACAACAACTGCGGGGCAAATCGGTGACGTTGATTTGCTGAGGGCGGCCTTCGTGGCGTTTCAGGACGACCCGCCCAGCGCGGCCTCCGCCTCCGGTCAGGCCCTGTCCGTGTTTATGTACGACCTGTGGAACCCCGCCTCTTTCGCCGCGCTTCAGCGCACGGTGCGCCTCTGCAACTCGACGGCAAACGCCGGCGCCTCTGGAGCTGAAGGCGGCTTGGCCGAGGACGAGGCATTTTCTGCGTGTAGTCGTGACGGTAGTCCAGACGCGACGAAGTCCCGTCATGCAGCCGCCGCGGTTTCACTTCTTGTGGAGGGCGCGATGTGGATGGACGTGCAAGCGGAGGACACGATGGTTGCCTACCAGCAGCGCGGGCTAGAGCACCTCACCCTACTGCGTGAGAAGCTCCATGTGTTGAGGGTACACGCCCCTCTCCACGTCGCGTTGCTCCTGCGGGCGCGGCCAGCCGAGCGGGAGGCGCGCAACATACTCTTCAACGAGATCATGGCGATAAATGAAGGGCCGCCACCGCCGCCGCCGATGTACCACGCCGCGGGCGTCTTTATTGAGCTTCAGTGGACAGCCGCCGTTGCGAGCTGGAGTGCATTTCCTCCCATTCTGCATGTGGCAGAAGCCGCAACGGCGACGGCACCGTCCGATGCCGATCCACCGAGTACGTTGTCGCTGCTTTTGCAGAATGTGCGGCGGTGGCATGCAAGAATCCTTCTGATCCCCACCATTCGGTCATCGCCACTGCATGCCACTGACACGATGCACGCGCTGCAGAAGGCAGTGGCATGTAAGCTGTCGTGTAGTCACCCACAGCGGTGGTTTGTCCCTTGCACGCTTGACCCAGTGGAGGCGATGCGGTGGGAATTGACGAACATGCGGGCAGAGTTAGGGACGGCGAAGACGCAGTTTAGCACCGCGGCAGAAGCGAAACGACGACGACTGCATGCTCTTTTATCGTCTATCCAACAACTCACGGCGACCGTGGCGGAACGTCATTCATGGGCGCGGCAACTTGTACTGTCGTGGCAACATGCAGATTGTGGCTCACGGGAGGCACTGCTGCGAGCCTGGGCAAAGCCGATGAAGAAACCCTGGCAGCTCTTTGCTCTCTCCGACGCGAGGCAGGCGGAGGCCTCTGGAGAGGACATTCATGCTGAGGACGTGGGTGCGGGACTGCGACGGAGTCCGGTGTATTTTCTTCTACTGCTTCCTCCCCCGCCCGCGAACACGTTGCCTGGTCACCGCCCCACATCGCTTGCAGCGAAGCAGGGGGCCGCGTTGGAGTCTCTGCGTGATTTGGGCACCACGACGACGACGACGCCGTTTCCGCTCTTTTTTGACATGAACGAGGACGACCTGGGCGATGGGAGTCCCGTTGAACTCTCGCTGCGTGTGCGGTTTGCGCCAGGCACTCCACTCTCCCCGCGGACGCACGAGGGGGTGGTGCGTGAGGCCGCGGTGGAAGTGTGTCTGCGGGCTCTGGACGGTCGATGCTTTCTTGCAGCCGCCTCGCTCTGGCAGGGTGGCCGACGCCGCACGGACGCCGTGCCCGCCGTTTACGTGAACGGGCGTCCGGTTCCGTGGCAAGCAGCGGAGAAGGCGCGGCCGTTTGCCACCGTCAAGCTACCGCCGCCGTGGGAGCCGCTCCCACTTGGGGCACGACTTGTCGTTGGCCCGTACGTCTTTATTCTCGCGTCACGGGGCGAGGCGACGTCACTGCCGTTTTGCTCTATCGGCAAACGAAGTCCCGCCCACATCCAGTGAGGGGAGCGCCGGAGTGCGTCATCGGTGACTACGCCGTGGAGCCGCCGATGCCAGCGGCAGCGGCAGTTGCGGATATTGAGCTGCTGCCACACCACGCCGTGCTTCTCGCCCATGCCAAGATGCTCATCTCCGTCTTCGACTGCGGCACCGACGCGGAGGCAGGGAACGAGGGTGAGGCACATCTTGTAGGGTCCGCGGCGCTGCCGCCGCTCGACGTCATTCTTGCCACAGTGGAGCAGGGCAACCGCTGCCGCTGCGACGACGCCACGCAACGAATGAAAGGCGGAGCGACCGTGGCGCAAAACGTTGAGCTGCCGCCATGGGAGTTGCCGTTGCACCGCTGCAGCCGGCGTGTGGGCACACTGTGTCTTGCCTGCTCACCGCCCATGTGCACTAGCTCCGCTGCCGCCGCAGAGGAGGATTTGTTGTAACGAAAACACCTTTACTCGGCCGCACCACGTTTTATTTTCTTCCTTTTTTGTTCTGTCTGTGTGGGTATTGGCGTGGCCCCACACTCTTTGGTCCTCCTCCTCCTGCTGCTGCTGCTGCTGCTTGCCGTAGCGTGAATGCCGCGGCGATTGCTGCACACGGGTGGCACGGAGGATGTTTGGCGCGCTTGGGACCCTGTGTAGGTTGATGTTTGCTTGGGAATCGCCGCCACACCGTTGCGGAGGAGTAAAGGAGGCGGGTGTGCCCGCTCGGTAAAGGACGGGGAACTCTGATGCCTGTATGCGCATCTCGTGTTGTTGTTGTTGTTATTGTTCTGTGTGTGTTTGTTTTTTGTTTGTGTGCCCACTTATTCCTCCCCACTTGTGCCGATTGGCGCCTCCAAAGGGAAGTGCGAGGCCGCAAGAGAAGGCGCGACGGCAGCCTGCGTCTTTGCTTTGGATTGCCGTGCTGCATCTCTCTCTCTCTCTTTGTGCCTGCCTCTTCATTGCTGCTGCTGCTGCCGCCGCTGTTGCTTTGCCTGGGCGCAAGCGAGTGCCGGGGGAGGGGGGAGGAAAAAAGAAAAGAAAAAAAGGAACGAGCGTGCGTGGGTGCGTACTTCACGACCGTGACCGTAATAACTCATAGAGAACGAGAATCCGAGGGAAACCAATAAAAGGGAGCCCGAAGTAAACAAAACCAGAAGGCGGACTTCTGTCCGCAGCGGAGTAAATAAATGTTACGTCGGCGTGTCACGGTTGGGTTTGCGCCGCGGGCCGCCTTCGCCGGTGCCGCCGCGGCGACCGCGCGGGGCCTGGCGGGGTACGGCGTGGAGGCCGCTGGCTCGCTGAGACTCTCGAGCGCCGCCCTCAGGCGGCTCGATGCCTCCAGCCGATACGCCGCCGGCTGCCTCGCGGGCGGGCTCTGGCTTGGGGCCCGGCCGCACTCCACCTCCACGCCGTCGCTGAGCATTTCCTCCGCCCGCGCCCTTCCCGCCTCGCCGCATCAGTGCTCCATTGAGCAGGTGCTGCTCCCCAGCGTGCAGACAAGCGGGAGCGGCATTCGCACCGAGACGCTGCGGGGGATGGTGCAGCTGCTGCTCGACCCCGACGCGACGGACGTGGAGGACGTCTCCATGTTGGACTTTGTCGTCATGGTGCCGAAGCGGCAGCTGATCGCGCTGCACGGCCGAAAGGAGCGGCTGGAGGTGGTGCTGAGCTCGGAGCGGTATCAGGCGTGCAAGGACGCCCGGGCGCTGCGGCTTGCGGGCGTCACGACGGTGGGTCGCTGGGATGAGAACCGCGACCGTGTCCCCATCTCCGCCTACTCGCGTGGGCTGCTGGAGGAGGCGTACGCGGCAATGGCACGACACCCGGTGGAGACGCAGAAAAATCAGGTCATTGCGTGGCTTACAAAGACGATTCAAAAGGCCGTCATTGAGGAGTTCGCGGCGAACAAGAGCAACCGGCAGTTTCTTGCCCCGCTCATCACGGGCATGCAGGCGCTGCCAGAGACCGCCGTGGCAGCGGCCAACGCCGCCAGCGCCGCCGCGATGACGGAGGGAGACGAGGCGCCGCACCCACAGGCCGAGGCGGAGGCGGAGGAGGAGGCAAAAAAGAAACGCACCGAGGACGCCGCCGCGGCGGAGGTGGAGCACGGCGGCCACAGCAGCGCCAAGGCAAACAAGTCCGCGCGGGTTCGCGGACGAAAGCACGCCAGGCACGCCGAGCCCGTGGAAGAGGGGGCTGCGAAAGCGGGAGGCGGCGGCGGCGCCATGGGTGACGATGTCAAGAAAAGCGACAAGTCACACCCCGCTGCCGCCGCTGCAGAAGACGACGACGATGCAGAAATCGCCCGGCTGCTGCAGGAAACGGAGCAGGAGTTTGCCCCGACCCCGTACATCCGCGGCAGTAGCGACAGCAAAGGTGCGACAGCGGCATCCGCGACAACGGCGGCGGCGGCGGCCAGGAACGATGCCGAGGATGCGAAGCCTGCCAAGTTGAAGAAAAAGAAGTCCGCAGACGCCGCTAGCAAGTCAGCCGAAGGCGAGCAGCCGCACGAGGAAAGTGTGACTGCCGCGGCGGATGCTAACACGTCAATGCCGGACTCAAAGCAGAACAGGTCGCTCGCACGGCTCGCAGAACTGATGCTTATTCAGTTCAATAGCGCCGATGGCTATCTGCACATTCCCGACATTAAAGACGATGAAAAGAAAGGGTTCGTTATCGCCATAGACGGGGATAGCGCGCAGGTGGATCCGTTTGCGCTGTATAGCACCTTTGGTGCGGCAAAGCTAACTGGCGGGGAACCAGCGGCGATCACGGCGTTGAACCAGGTCTGGGCCGCGTACAGCGCCTACACGGAGGCGCACGAGGCGGCGGAAGACGACGCCACGGCGAAGTTTTTCAAGGAAAAGGGCGTGGAGGCTTTAGTGCACGGCGCCGTCTTGCTGCGCGCCATCTCGCGTGATCAGGCGGTCACACTGGTGCCGCAGGATATTCCAACGTACGGGTTTCCGCTGCTTTCCTCCGATCGTCGGCCGCATCGCACGCGACGGAGCAAAGGTGCAACGGACATGACGGCAGAAAAGGTGTCTGAGGCCGTCAAGGCGTACACGGCCTTCTTTGCCAGCAAAAGCAAGAAGTTCACGCCGATTCGTCCAACCATTGACTACAACTCGGGGTGCAGCGTGGCGGCGTTGATGGGCACGACGCTGCACCTCTACGAAACCTCCTTGAAGGAGACGGTGCGTGAGGAGGACATCCGCTGCCGCTTTGGCGAGGCGATGCTGGGTGTTCTGCACGTGGTGGAAAAGAAGGTGATCACGCGCATTAACGTCGTGCACTACCACATTCTTGCCACCTCTCTCAGTGGCGGGGGCGCAGGCGCAGGTGGCATGGACGGGATGACGACTTCCATCGTCAGCGTCGATATCACGGGCCCCTTCACCGCCGCGGAGAGGACGCGGCTGCAGCAGCTTGCGGAGCCACTCGGCATGTCGGGCGCCATCGCCGCCTGCAAGTGTGTCTCGGATATCGTGGATAACATTGAGGCCCTCGGCGTCTCGGTGGTGCACGACATCTTGACCAACCGCGACGACCTGGAGGCGCTGCTCACCCCCACGCTCGTGCAGCTCCTGCCAGAGGCGGAGGAGGAAGAGGAGGAGGAGGAGCAAGAGACGGAGAAGCGGCCCTCCGTGAGGCGCGCGCCCGCAACGGCCGCCGCCGCCGCGAAGGACGCATCCTCCAAGTCCGGCAGCACTGCCGCGGGTGTGAAGGCGGCAGCCACGGCGGCGGCGGCCGACGACGACGAGGAGGAGGAAGAAGAAGAGGAAGAGGAGGCCGATGGCATCAATGCCGAGGGCGAAGAGGAGGAAGAGGAAGCTGAGGAGGGGGAGGAGGAAGAGGAAGAGGAAGAGGAAGAGGAGGAAGAGGAGGTGAAACCTGCAAAGGGCGGGAAGCAGAGGACGGCTGCTGCAAAGCAAAAGGCAGCCGCCGTTGAGGACGAGGAGGAGGAAGATGAGGAGGAGGCGGTAGACGAGGAGGACGAGAAAAGGATGGAAAATGGGGCGGACGACGACGACGACGACGACGAGGAGGAAGAAGAGGCGCCACGTGCGGCTGCCACGGGCAGGAAGCCGCCCGCCCCGGCCCCCGTGAAGGGGCGCTCGGCCCGGGGCCGGGTGCAGCCGTCGGCGGAGGCGGCGGAGGAGGAAGTCGCGGAGGCTCCGCGGCAGCCGGCGCCGCAGCGGACGCCTGCGCCGAGGAAGACAACGCACGCCGGCAAGCGCGCGCCGCCACCCCCGCCCGCGGCTGCTGCCGCTGACGACGACGACGACGACGACGACGGTGCTCTGGACGAGGAGGAGGAGGAGGTGGTGCAGCCCCCGCCCCCGCCGCAGCACAGCGCCGCAGCGAAGAAGGGGCATGCGGCGAAGAAGCCGGTCCCGCCACCGCCGGCTGCCGCAGAGAATGATGAGGACGAAGAGGAGGAAGAAGTCGTGCGGCGTCCGATGAAGAAAGGCGTGGGTTCGAAGCGTGCACCGCCGCCACCTGCGGCGCCGGCGCCGGCAGATAACGATGAGTCCATGGAGGAAGAGGAGGAGGAGGAGGTTGTTGCGGCGCCGCGTGCACGGAACCGCGGGCGGCGCATGAACCGCGCCCTTCCCAGTTCCGCCAGTAACGCTAACGACGAGGAGCGCTGGTTCCAAAAGGCGAGGCGTTGAGGCAGGGTGGGCGGTTGCCGCCGTGTTTCTCGCCACGGTCCCTTTAGGGCTGAAGTTAAATCCGTGAGACCACATATCTATACATACAGTAAATAACAATACATGGCCACCTGCAATGGGTGTGGGCAACTGTGATGGGAAAACATAGATCGGGGGGCACAAAGGAAAACAAAAATAAAAAATAAAGGTTGGGATGTGGGGGCGGGATAAATTGACACACGAATATACGTGATGGGAAAGTGTTAGAAAACAACTTGTCTCGCTGAAAGTGTCAAGAAGCCCTTATTTTTCTTCTTTGGAGAAAAGATGTGTGAGTGTGTGTGTGTGTGTGGCTTTGGAGGCTATCGCACTTTGTTCTGTCATTGGAGTCAACCGCCAATGTGCCTGAGAAGAAGGAAAGAACCGAGAGGAAAAAAAAAGTAAAAATTTCAACGTGTGGGTTTTGGTTCTCACCAACCCACACATTTCAGTTTTATGAGGATAATTGTTGTTTCTTGTTTTTACGTTCTTGTCGTTACCCGGTGGAGCCAGCGCTGCTGGTGAAACCCGCATGCCGCTTGCATGCATCGCATAGAGCGCGGGCGTGCCTGAGCGGGCGAGAAGCCACATATAAGCGAAGGTACAGTCAATGCACGCCGTACACGCTTGCGTGTGTGGAAATGACGTTCGCATGCCGCGCTCCAGTACGACACCCACGCCCGTCTACGGAGTTTGCGTATTCCGGCGTCCTGTAAAGAGGCGCCCCGCATTGCGGCCCCGCTTGTTATTTTCTTTTCCTTGTTTCTTTCTTTCTTTCCTTCTCTCCCTTTCCCTCTCTTTTTTTTTATTTATTTGTGGTTCCCCTCCTGTCCCTTGACCACACACGCGCCGCAGGGAAGCAGCTAAGCCACCCGCCCACACGCAGATAAAGAGAAAGAGCGAGGGAGAGAAATAACCCCCCACTGGGACGACACTCCGTCACGGCTACGCGGGCGGGCAGAATGGGGAAGAAGGCGGAGCAAAAGAAGAAGGAGAAGATCCTGGAGGACAAGACCTTCGGGCTCAAGAACAAGAACCGCAGCTCGAAGGTGCAGTCCTACATCCAGTCCGTCTCCAAGAGCGTGAACCAGGGAAACCCAAATGAGCGCAAGCGCACGGAAGAGCTGGAGGCAAAGCGGAAGGCCCGGGAGGAGAAGCGGGCCTTTGAGGCGGAGATGGCGAAACTCTTCAATGACGTAGGGAAGCCGAGCAAACCCGCCACACAGAACCCGCATGAGGAGGGCGGCGCGAGTGACACGGAGGACGCCGACAAGAACTTTGGCTGCGCCCCGGAGGACTACCTCTTCCGCCCCGAGGACTTTGACGAGGTGCAGCACGACGAACGCCGGTTAGAGGAGAGGCTCGAGGCGGAGCGGGAGGCGCTGCAGGGCCGCACCGACCTCACGCCCGTGACGGAGGAGAGTTTTCAGGCCTGGAAGGCGGCGAAGCGGGTGGAGGCGGCCGAGGTGGAGGCGGCGCGGGTGCGCAAGGCGAAGACGGGCGAGGGCAAACTGCGCGGCTGGGACCTGTGGCAGATGGACAAGGACCTCTTCGTCGACGACGACGACGCGGACGAGCAGTACGAGCGCGAGGAGAGCGTGGACGGCAGCGAAGACGCGGCGTACGACCTCTCGTGAGGCTCCGCAGCCCGCGCAGCGGGGTAGGGGAAAAAGTAAGGGGAGCAGCGCGAGGACCCCCTGCGCGGGGCAAACGGCAACAGTAACAACCGCGAGAAGAAGAAAGAGAGAAAGAAAGAAAAAAGGGCGGGAGTGGGGGAAGTAAACGGGGACTGGAAGGGTGGGCAAAAAAAAAAACGAGGGCAGGAGTGGGATGGAAACGACTTCACAAGGAAGAAGCAGCAGCTGTGCTTGAAAGGGAGGGTGCGGCCACGTCGAAGGAGACACGCGCCCCACACACGGCGGCAGGGCTGCAGGGGACTAACCCCCGCACACGGCAGCGGGGAAGTGTTGCTGGAGTTGTGGCACGTGTGTTATTTTTTATTCGCCTCTTCCGGGTGGCTCTGGTTGCTTTCTTGCGGGGAACGGAGGAGGCGGAATGTTTTTGTTTGTATTTTCGTCGCCCCTTTTTTTTCCCGCCTCGCTCCTTCTGCGTTATCTTCCCCACTGCACTCTCACCATCGGACGCAATGCGTTTTTTTTTCCCCCCCCCCCATCCCTTTTCTCCCATTACTACTGTTTCTTGCGTTTGCTTCCCCGCTTACTCCGTGCGTGCGTGCGTGCGTGCCTGCCCCCCAACCCCCACCGCGGCCTGTGGACTCGCCTCCCGCTTCTTCCCACCGCCTCTCTTTGACTATTTTTTTTCTCTCTCTCTTTCGTTTCTTCTTTTCTCCTCTTTTCTTGTCGCGTGCGACGCGTCGTGGCGGGGCCGGGGCGGGAAGTGTGACTGCCGCCCGCAGCTTCGCCTACACGCACGCCGTGGCTTTTGGAGACCCCCCCCCAACCCGCACACACACACCGCTCAACAGGCAAAAGGGGGAGAAGGAACCACACGGGCGGAGGAGCACGGGGAAAGAGAGAGAAAGAAAGAGGGGACAAAAGGAAGAATACAAAAAACACACAAAAATAAAAAGGAATTAAAAAGCAAAAACAGAGCAAAAAAAAAGGCACATAAAAAGAAAAAAAAGTAGGGGTGTGGGTGGGGGGCACGAAGGATGCGGCTCCGTTCCTTTTTGCTGCGGTACTACCCGCCAGGGATCACGCTGGAGTACGAGACCTCCTCTGGGGAGGTGCGGGAGAAGACGATAGACCTCCTCACCCTCACGGTGACGACGAACTTAGAGCGGCTTGCGGCGGAGATCATCAAGGAGGAGCCGCTGCTCTCTGAGAGGTATACGCCGCAGCTCTTGTCGTACCTGCAACGCCTCGTGGAGAAGCTGAGGGTGGGGCACAACAAGAAGGAGAAATTCGTGCTGTTTAAGGCACTGCGGGGGCACATGCTGCCCTTGACGAACTGTGCCTTTAACAAGGGCGGGGACTCCTTTATCACCGGAAGCTACGACCGCACCTGCAAGGTGTGGGACACGGCCAGTGGCAACGAAATCGTCTCACTGGAGGGGCACCGCAATGTAGTGTACTCGGTGTCATTTAACAATCCCTACGGCAATCGCGTGGCCACAGGCAGCTTTGATAGGACGTGCAAGATATGGGATGCGGCTACTGGGCAGTGCTACCACACACTAGCCGGTCACATGGCTGAGGTGGTCTGCATGAGCTTCAATCCGCAGAGCACGCTGCTTTCGTCAGGCTCGATGGACTACACTGCGAAGGTGTGGGACCTGGAGACGGGGCATGAGACCTACTCCCTCCTCGGGCACACCGCAGAGATAGTCTCACTTAACTTCAACACCAAGGGGAATTTAATTCTCACGGGTAGCTTTGACACAAGTGCCAAACTTTGGGATGTTCGCACCGGCAAGGCCACACACACGCTGCAAGCGCACCGAGCTGAAATCTCCTCGACGCAGTTTGACTACGCCGGCAACCTCTGCATCACCGGCTGCATCGACCGCACCTGCAAGTTGTGGGACGTCGGCTCCGGGCAGTGTGTGGCGACGCTTCGCGGTCACACGGACGAGATCCTTGACGTGGCTTTTAACACGACGGGGTCTCTCATTGCGACGGCTAGCGCAGACGCCACGGTGCGCATCTACGACACGGCGAGTTGCAACTGCGTCGCAAGCCTGCTGGGCCACGAGGGTGAGATCTCAAAGGTGCAGTTTAACCCACAGGGGACAAAAGTCATCTCCGCCTCAAACGATAAGTCCTGCCGCCTGTGGAGTGTGGAGACGGGGGAACTTTTGCAGTGCCTTGTTGGGCACAAGGACGAGATATTCTCCTGCGCATTCAACTACGAGGGGGACGCCATTTTGACAGGCTCCAAAGACAATACCTGCGGCATCTGGAAGAGTCAGCCTGGCTAGCCCTGTTTGTTTGTTTTGTTTTGTTTTGTTTTTTCGTTTTCAACGCCTCGCCACGCCCCTCCGCAGAAGCAGGCAGAGAAATAAAGAGAGGGAGGGCGGGGCGGGGGGGAGGACGACCGTGTTGTGTGTCCTCCCCGCGGAGTGCTTGACCGAGACGCCGACGCGTAAACGAAGCCCCCCCCCCCCTCCCAAGAAAAAAAAAAGGGTCAACGACAACGGGCCTCTTCTCTCTGGTGCCTCGGCCACGTAGAAGCGTTTTTTTTTTATTGAGGCGTATAAATATATATATGAATATCTATACGCATATTCTGTCTAGTTACAATCCTCATCCCATCGTTCTGGGCGGCCGTGCGGGGTTTGTTTTCCTCCTCCTCCTCCTCCTCCGCAGCCGGAGACGAGGAAGACGCAGAGAGCGGCCGCGGTGGCGCTGCTGGCGGAAGGACGCACAGGAGGGAGGGAGAATTATTAAAAAAGAAAGAGAAAGAGAGGAGAGTGGTAAGCAGGAAGACGCATAGAAGGAGAAAAACAAGAAACAAAAAACAAAAAGGAAAGAAGCACGGCACCGTGAATAGATGGATGCGTATAAATGACGAGATTGTGGGGAAGGAAGAAAAAAGAGAAGAGGATAAAGACCACACAAGGAAGCGAGAGGGAGGGAGACACAGCGTTCGGCGCAGTGGCGGTTCACGTCATCAACAAACGCAACAAGCACGTGCACCTCCACGCACGTTGCGCGTTTCTCACCCCCATCCTCCGCAGGTGCATCATCGTCTGCAAAGACACGGACGGAAATGATTGGGAGGGCGTGCCGCGAAGGCAACGACGTTAAAAAGTGTTGCTTTGAACGATGTCAAAGCCAATCTCAATGCCGAGAGGGAGGAAAATGTAAGGGGCGTAGGAAATCAGCAGAGATGGGGAAGAAGACGTGTTAGAAAAGGAAGGAGGCGAGATATGTTTCTTCTCTTTATTCATTTTGTTTTGTTCTTCTTTACGAGAACAAATGAGCCTCTTCTATTTCGCGTCGGTTTCGCTTTTCAAGCATCGTACCTTTTCCTTTTTCCTTTACTTGTGGTTGTGTGCTTTTTGTTGTTGTTGTTGTTTGCACTTCCGCGGCGTCTCTGCGGGTGCGTTGTAGCGGGTGAGAGTGACGGAAAGTAGGTGCGGTTGGTGGTGCTCCTGCCGCTGCGGGCCGCCGGTGTGTGTGTGTGTGTGGGAGGGAAGGAGAGAGGGAGAAGGGGAGGGGCGCGGTGCCTGTCTGCGCTGCGCCCACGCAGCAGTCTCCTGCTCTTTCTCTCTTTTTTTTTTCTCTCTCTCCCTCTCTGGCGGTCCGTGGAGGTGAACATCCCTTCACTACCCCCGCCCCTCCCCCCAAACTACTGGGTGACTATGAGGAAGAGGAAGACGACTCCCGCCCGCACCATTTATGCAGCCCAAGGTGAAACTGTTATACTGGGAAAAAAAAACGAATCAAAATGAAATTGAGGCGTTGCATGCTTCACTTCCCACCCTTCCTTTATTGTTCTTTTTTTTGTCTGCGTTTTTCCCCCCTTTTGCTTCCTTCGGTGTGTACAGAGTAGCCCCTTCCGTGCGTGTGCGGGAAGGGGGTGGGTGTTCCATGGGGACGGCTCGGGTGCATTGACGACTGGAAAACGCGAAAGGCGAGGGTTGGAGAATGCGCGGCTGTCAGCGTCGTTTCCGCTCCGGTCTTCCACCCGTGCAGGATCAGGGGTTTACGTTCGGTGTGGAGCTGCTTCCGCCGCGGCGGGCGTCGCTTACAGCGCCCTTTATTGACGCCGTCGCGTTGCTGCGCCCGTACCAGCCGGCGTACCACATTTTGCCCATGAAGGCGCCGTACTTCGCGGCCGCGGGGCGCAGTGGCATGGAGGACGCCGTGGATCACGTGCGGCGGGTGGGTGGGCGCGTGATTCTCACAGTGACGGCCACGATGAGTGCCGACGAGGGCAGCGGCGCGGCAGCCACACGCGAGGGGGTGCGGCGTATTCTTCACGACTTTGTGGGGCGACGCGGGGGCGACGCGCTGCTGCTGCTGCGCGGAGATGTGGGGCGGCGAAACGACGAGCGGGCGTCTGCGGCGGTGCAGGAGCGGCACGGCGGCTTCCGGGACAGTGTCGAGCTGCTGCAGTTTGCGGCCGGCGAGGCGAGGGCGCTAACGGGCGCACCGGTCTTGCTGCTCTCCAGTGGCTACCCTCAGGGCCACCCAATGGAGCGCATCTGGGGCCCTGACCGCCATGCGTCCCTGTCGTTCCTCGGCAAGCTCTCCGCTGCCGTGGGCGCCGCGGGCCCGGATGTCGCGGTGGATCAACCGCCCCGTGACTGGGACGCCGCGTGCGCGCAGGCGCGCAAGCTACTTCACCGCGTGGAGCTGGCGCTGCTCCTGCGCGAGGTGCCCTCGACCTTGCCGCGCGAAGCGGCGCAGGGTGCGGTGCGGACGCTGGTGCGTGAAAAAATTCTGCGGCACGGGGTTCGCGGGGTCATCACGCAAACGCTGACGGATGCCGCGGAGTTTATTGCGTACGTGGACGACGTGCACCGTGAGCTTCGCCGCGCCGACGCGGGAGGCTTGGCGCAGGCGGTGACGCTGCTGCCCAGCATAGTGGCGCCCCTCACTGCGGAGGAGTACACGCGTCTGCTGCTCTTCACTAAGGTGATACCCAGCGCCGCGGTGCAGCAGGCGCTACGCGAGTACCGCGACGGTCTGAGGGCGGCGGTTGCGGCAGGCCCGCGGCTGGGGGGCGGCGACGAGGGGCGGGCGCAGGAGTTGATGGACACCACGGCGGCGCTGGCGCAGACCTTCCGCGCGACGCTGGAGGAGGAGACCGTGGAGTTGTGCCGCGCGGTCCTCGGCGCCGGGCACCGGTGCCTCAACTTCTCCGTGTTTAGGAACAGCAACCTGCCCGCCCTGTTGCGGCTGATTGACCGGCTCCGCGGGGAGGCCCCCGCGGCGCCTCGCCTGCAATGAGAAGCCGCTTCCCTCCTCCTCTTTGTGGCGTGCGACGTGCGCATGCACACGCGTCTGGGTGTTAATTGCTGCTTTGCTGCCGCTTGTGGGAATGTTTTTTTTTTCTATTCCTTGTTTTTCGCCGCACCGCAACAGAAGGTGGCTGCCACATACACGCACACGCAGAGGGCGAGGGAGCAGGTGCGCCAGCAAAAAAAAAAGGAAAAATCACAAGGCCACATACAGGCGTATACAGGAGAGGCAGAAAAGGAACTTATTTGAGCGCCACACGAACATCGCGTGAAGTATGCCCGGACACCAACACCTCGGCGACCCTGCGCTCACGCAGAACCAGGGCAACCTGCTGGGCGACCGTCCCTGCGTGCGCCAGAGCCGTCTCTACCGCGAGCACGTTGGCGGCAACACCATGAAGGAGCTCATGGGGCAGGACGGGCTGAAGTGGGACACCACCCGCACGCAGGGCGTCTACGCCGGCGGGAGGGCCTTTGACCACAACGACAAGCCCCGGGCGGAGGGCGCCCCTGCGGATGTCACCACCACCAGCAGCAGCGGCACCAACAACGACAACAACGGCAAGCGCGACGGCGAGCCCCGCAACGGCGCGGGGGAGGAGGCGGTGATTGCGATGGGGACGGAGGAAAAGCAGACGTGCCCCGCACAGTCGCTCATGCCGCCGCCCACGCGGTCGGCCACGCCGCCGCCGCCGCCGGAACCGCAGCAGCAACGGCAGCCGGCACCGGGCGGGGCGCCTGTCGCCGGCCGTGCGTTCCGCCCGGGTGCGGGCTACGCCAACCGTCAGACGTACAACCTCTTCACCGGCGAGTGATGGCGCCGGCCGCACCCCAAGGAGGAGAAATGGGCGGGGAACGAAAAAGGAACCGGAGTAAGAGGGGTTAAAGAAGCGAGAGAAGTGGGGAGGAGAGATCAAAGTATATATACATATATATAAAGAAATATATTTGAGAGCAGCAATGACACAGAAGGCACAACAAAACGAAAAAAAAAACGTTAGAACCAAGAAGGGAAGTAAAGTGGAAATAATATTTTAACAAAAGAAAAAGAAGTGAAAGGAGGAGGGGCGGAGGTGCAGTGTCCTTTGACGCGGCGGAGGAAGAAGAAGCTGAGGCGGAGGAAGGGAGAAGGTGGTGGTGGTGGTGGCGCCCCCAAGTACAACAGACAATACCGCGACGCGCGGAAGCGGAGATGCTGTGGAACTAGAAAAAAAAATATATGAACGGCCATGAAGTAGGGCAAGAAAGACTCAATAGAGCAGGCGTGGGTGGGACGGATAAAAAGTGTCTGCGTGTGTGTGTGTGTTGGTCAGGAAGGCGCTTCCTCCTGCTCTGCTTCCCTTCCGTTGGTTTCCTTTGCTGCAGGCTCGCTCAACTTGTGAATTTGCATGGTTTGTTCGGTGCTGCTCACCACGGCGCCTTCTTCAAGCTGTGTGTCATGTTTCTGGGGCCGCCTGTTCCTGCTGCACGCAGACGATGTATGTATTTATCTATCTATCGGCCGATCTGTCTATCCAGATGGACCGTGTCTCGGTAAGAGAGAGTGAGCGGGAAGGCGCGAGCCCGCTTGTTTTTCTGGGGAACTTGGGAAAGTGCAGAGACAGAGACAGAGACAGAGGATGAACGAGAGGACCAAGTGGAGGAAGCCCCTTGGCGGCGAAGTACCGGTAACGGAAAGGTTTGCCTCTCCCTGAGGTTGTGCATCCGCTGCCTCTCTCTCACTCGATTACCGTGCGTGTGTGTGTTTATGTGTTTCTGACGTAGAGTCTACAAACTCCATACCTCCAGTACTTTATGCTCTTCACACTTCATATATGTGAGTCCGTGCTTGTTTCGTATCCTCTGTGTGTGTGTATGTGTGTCTACTCTGCGTGGGTTTCTGGAGGGCGAATTTTGTTTACTATCATGCATTTCACTACTGTTATTTCCAGCCTACTGCATATTTTACTTTAATGAGTTTGTCGTGTTCACACGCCCGCTGAGAAGCGGAACAGTAGCCGTGGAGGGGGATTCATTTTATCTGCGGCAGCTTGAACGGAAGCAAATTCTCGCGATCATGGTTTGTTTCCTGCTCTGTCCCTTTGTTCTTTCCGATTTCGTTCTGCTGGCGTGCCGTCGACGCTGTCGTTTGCGAGGGCCTCGTCCTCGCATGCGTGTGCGCGGACGCGCCCCTACACGCCAGCACCTTCACCCCCTCTTTCCGTTCCTTTTGTTGGTGAAACGCGTGTGTGTGTGTGTGTGTGTGTGCGACAGAGTGCTCCTCGAGTTTTTTCCATTGTTTTTTGGTTGTTGTTGTGTTTTTTTCTGGGGTCGTCGCGCGTGGGTGCTGGACTGTGGGGGCTGCCGTGTTCTGCGCAGCAGCAGCAGCAGCAGCCTCCCCGCCACACGGGGCGAAGACGCGTGTGCCATCGTTGCCCCTCTGCTCCATTCCCCCTCCACACACAACACACAACACGCGCGTTTTAGTGTCAGGGCGAAGAGGCGGGCGCAAAGGCGGCACCGCTGCCCTTCGACTGCCATGGGGGGCGCAGAAAATGGGGAGGTGGTGTACTGCGACGCGTTTATGCGCGCCGCCTTTGTGGAGGCGCGGGCGGCCCTCGCGGAGGGCGAGGTCCCGGTGGGCTGCGTGCTCGTGCCCGCGGAAGCCTCCTGTGCGGCCAACGCGGGGCGCCTAGGCGACGAGCAGGGCGAGGCTTCCCTGGGACGCCTCATCGCGGCACGCGGGCGCAATGCCACCAACAAGGCGCGCCACGCCCTCGCCCACGCGGAGTTCGTGGCGGTGGAGGCACTCTTGCGTGACGCGGCCGCAAAGAGGCAGAAGCCGCCCGCAACCCTCGCTGGGTACGTCCTGTACGTTGTGGTGGAGCCGTGTATCATGTGTGCCGCCATGCTGCTCTACAACCGCATCGGGCGGGTGTACTTTGGATGCGCCAACCCTCGCTTCGGCGGCAACGGCACCGTCCTTGCGGTGCAGGCGGCGGCCTCCACAAGCGCCCCCGCCTACGAGAGCTGCGGCGGCCACCGAGCCGACGAGGCGGTGGCGTTGTTGCAGGAGTTCTACAGCCGTGAAAACAGCGCCGCACCTGCGCACAAGCGACGACGGAAGGAGACGTGACTCCGGACTACCTCGTTCGGCGGTGGTGGTGTGTTGAATGTGACTGTCTGCGTGTGTGTGCGTGTGCGTTTGCGGCGGGTTAACCCGACGAACCAGTGGAGAGCAAGGCAAGCTCACGCACGCACGCATTGCGAGTAAAAGACGCGAAAGAGCTGGCGATAGAGGTTTGAAAGGCGTTTTTTTTTGCATTCTGCCTGCGTCTGCCTTTCAGCGGCCGCCGCACGTACGGCTTTTCCCTCTTCTTGTTCTTTTTTTTGCCTGCGTTGACTGCACTCCGCCCCGGTCTCGGAACCCAAACACGCACGCAACACACACATGCCTTGCAGCTGAAGGAGGGGGGTAACGAAAAAAACAAAAAAAAAAAACAAAAGGGGCGGGAGAGTTTCCACGCTGTGTGTGCGCGTGTGTGTCTGACGCCTCTTTTGCTTGGCCTCTGGTGGGGGGAGGGTGCTGGTCGGCCCCTCCGCTCACAGCGCGTGGACGGGGTGGCAGGATGGTGGTGACTGCGCTGGTGGAGGGCGTCCTGAAGCTCGCCCTCCTCTTCGTGCTGCTTGGCTTCTTCTTTAGCACCGTGCGGCTGACCTGCTGCATGTCGTTTCTGGCCGTCAACCCGGAGCTGCCAGGGACGGTGCCGTTTTCCGACGAATACTGGAGCCAAGTGAGCATGTGCCTCAATCGCTACTAGACGCGCCCCCGTGCGGTGTGCGGGAGGAATATATTTATTTATATATGAATACGTGCGTGCTGTGCCGAACGACTCCTTGCTTCTGTCCACCTGGCTTGAGGTGACGGGCAGACTGGACGCGTGCCGCCTCCACGAACGTCACCGGAGCAGGGCAGAGGCGGAGTTGGAGCGGTGCCCGTTGCCAGTGCAACGCTGAAACAAACAAACAAACAAACAAA